TTTCTTCAGTCCAGATCTGGGACCAGGCTGTCTAGGCTGTGCATACACAGGCATATGGAGGTGGTATCGGGCAAGGGCTGGTCCTCTGTCCCAGCTCCAGATCCTTGTCATCCCTCCTTCATCTGTTCTTCCACTTCAGGATGCAAAGCTTGAGCTCTTAGCCCAGAGACCCGAAGGGCTTGGGTTTTATTCTTTCTTCCCCTCAGGTTAACATGCTGCGTAGAGTCCTCTGTGGGGTGGAGCAGCCAGACTTGCTTTGGTGCCTGCCAGTCTGTCAGGATGGTACATTTGGATAACAGCTCATCCTTTGATCTCCACAGTGAACAAGTTAGAAACTTCACTTTTAAAGCTTCTGACAGTTTTGTTGACTTTGCCTTATGAAAGTATGAGATCCTAGGTTGAAAAGCTCTGCTTAAATACCAAGTAACCACACATTCACACCTTAGAAGAGAAGCTTGCCTCCTCCAGCCACAGAAACACTTGCTCAGCGTAGCTTTTTCCCTCCTTTCTGAATGTCTATTGTTAGCACATTTACCACTTCTGGGTTCTGATAAACCACGGGGAAATGACTAGTGATCTGCTGGTGAGATTATGAGCCCCAGGGGCCAAGTGCCAAGACTGGCAAATGCCCTTCCTTCCTGCGTGCAGAAAAGTGTTCAACCTGACTGACTTGTTTCTGGATCACAAGATCGGATAATGAAACCCTTCTAAAGTCGAAGGAGAGAGGGCAGAAGGAAGGGGAAAGATAAGCAAATAATGAATTATCTAAAAATGTTTTTGTCTTTTACTGAGCAAAGGATTTCAACAGTAGTCAGACTATAAGCATATACTGCTGTGCTGTTCACTGGTTGTGTGGCCTGGGTGAGATGTTTAATATACTCCACCGCATGGGACCCTTGTGAAGATTTGGTGAAACAGTCTTTAAAAAGTGCCTAGCAAATAGTGAGCACTCAGTAAAGGTTATTATGCAGTGCATTGGTGAGAATAGGAATTTCATTTCTTATTTGATTTCTAGGTCCGTCTATAAAATAAATGGTGACTGAATGAATAGATGAGAGGATACTTAATGTGTGTGTGCCAGCAGACACCTAACTGTGTCCTGTCAGTGTTTAGGGACCTTTGTCATGCTTATCAGGGCCTCTGTTTTGAAGTGTGCATTATCCTACCGCTTAAAATGTCAACTATATATTGTTCACTAATGCAAAGAAATAATTTATTATAGACGTAACTGTTAAGGTGACCCTTAAGACAAGGACCTTCAAAAAAGAAGGGGCACTGGATTCCCAAGGGGTATAATTGACCATTTTGCTGTGATACTCTTGTCTCTTTTCTTAGTTTCAGTATCTTCCACATGTAAAACTGAATGTTGAATCAAACATATATGGTAAGACTCATACTGTGGCCACGAAGAGTGAATTTTATTTAGCAATGAAAATAGTAAGCTGAAAGCTCATATTCACATCTATGGAGAGGGTTTACAAACTGCATGAAGGTGACTCCACTGAGTTAAATAGATCGTTAATATAATAACAATCACAATGCTAACTTCTGTCTAGGGTTTATTTTGTCTCTGGGCTGGAGTCAACTGCTATGTGTGTATTATTTTACTTACTCCCTCATATCTATGAGCTAGAGGCCATCTTATCTTCATTTACACAAGAAATAGATTCTGGGAGAATAAGAAAATTGCTCAGTATCATGCAGATTGTTAACCGGTGACACTGAGTTACAAGGGGTTAATTTATAAGACAGAGTTCTATACAATTTGTTCCCCTCCAAGACAGATTTTTCCCCTAAAACTCCAAGATTAGTATTTCTCTTCACTTGGTAAAAACATTACAAAACCTGTGACTGAGGCTAGGCTTGTGCGCAAATAATATTTGGTTTCTTACAACCATTGCTAAGGTTTCTAGTGTAGAGAGTGCATTAAGTTGGTATTCCATTCATTAAGCAAATATTGAGTACCACTGTGTTCCTCTAGGCTTTGTTCCCATAGCAATGAACAAATCAGGCAGGTCCTTGTTTTAAGAGTACTTATACATTAGCTAAAAGAGACAGACAGTAAGTGAGTCAGTAAATGAGGGTGTTTGAGATGGGATAGGCAGAGAAGGCATCTACGAGGAAGGGATATTTGAGTTGAGCCCGAAGGAGGGGGTGTGAAGAGCTTTTCTGGAGGAGGAAAGAATCAGTTTCAAGGGCCTTGTGGACAGTAGGTTAGTGCATTCTGGAGCAGAGAGAAGGTTGCTGTGCCTGGTGTTGGTAAGAAGCAGATCTTGTATCATGTAAAACCTTATAAACCAAGGTAAGAGGCATAGAGAAGCAGATTTGAAGCAGTGAACTAACATGATAAAATTTGTAAGCTCTCTCTGGTTGCTATATGAGAAAATAAGCAATAGATAAAAAGTCACGGAGACTCTCCCAGATGACCCAGGGGGATTGGTGAGAATACATATATTTGAGTTGAGTTATAATTTGAAGGCCAAATCAGCAGGAAACTGGATTGGTAAGTATGGGAAAGGGGAAAAGACAGGACACAAGGATGATTCTTGAGTCTTGACCTGAATTAAAGGGACATGCTTGGGAAGGGTCATAGAGTGTTACCCAGTAAGGAACACAGAGAAGGCAGGGATTTGGGAAATGGAGTTGGACCAAATAAAGAGTTCTGGTTGGGATGAGTGAAGTCATCCAAGATGTCTTAGTCATCCAAGCTGAGGTTCTGAGGTGTCCACTGTACCTGGGCTAAAGCTTGAGAAAGTGGTCAGATATTTAAATCGTTCCATTCGAAGAGTGGTTTTTTTGTTGTTGTTTGTGTTTGTTTTTTGGTGTTTTTTTTAAGGAGCTCTTGTTCTTATGGAAACTTTTAGTATTTTAGGAGCATTCTGTGGTTGAAGCTGTGTCTTTGATCCTTGAGCTGGATACTGGAGCATGCTGGGATTTCTCACATGCCCCCAGGAAAAGTGCATTGCCCTGATGAGCAGATGGGAACTCTCTGCAGCTCTACTGGTTACACTACAGTGGAATACTCCTAGAAAGATCTCTCCACACAGGGAACCACATTTATGCGCAGCTTCTTTATTAAGTCTGACACAGATTTTTTTTTTTTTTTTTGGTACTGGGGATTGAACTCGGGTCCTTGTGCTTGCAAGGCAGGCCACCGAACCGCTGAGCTAAATCCCCGGCCCCTGACATAGATCTTGCTATTTATGGTTCCCAGTGGAGTTTAGCACAGTAATTAAGGTTTAACAAATTGTTCATCATGTTCACATTTAAGAGATTCTGAAAACTAGTTCAATCGTGGCCATGACAGGTGTCTGTGTTTATGTCTTGTACACTAAAACTGGGCCCTGTTGTCCCTTTACCATATTCAAGTGCTCAATTAGTGAGTAGTCCCTGTGGACAGCTGGTGGGTTATAAATCAGAGCCCTACAAAGAATGGTGATTCAGTATGGAAAAACTTATAAGACAAACCCCACTTATTTATGATGTTTGGATTAAGTTTCCTTTTTTGAGCTGCCCCTGGCTTATGCTCTATTTCCCTTTTTAACTCCAGTTTCCTTTTGCTCTATACTATCAAAAGCACGTTTCATCTACTCAAACTCTAGAACAATCTATCATACTCCTGACTCTGTTATAATCTCTAAGCATTCTTGTGTTTCTTGCGTCTTCTACATTCTGTTCCATTAGCAAGCATGGTCATGTTTACTTTTTTTTGTTAAGGATGATCTCCCAGACCCATAGGAGTTACATATCATGGCTAGGAACCTCCTATTAAATGTCCTCTTTCGCTTCCCCTACATGATCCATTGTCCCCAAATAGTAACACCTGCAGTGCCTGGGATGCACAGAAGCCTAAAACAGCAGGAACTAGGTGGGCTTTTCAAATGAGTGGATCCCCAGACAGTCTTCTATTCTCTCTATAGTTTAACAGCCATGTGACTTTGAGCAAGTTCCTCAATTTCTCTAAATCTCTGTTTTCTTCTCTGTAAAATGAGGGCAATTATACCCTATCTCTAATATTTGAATAATATGAAGTAGTACTTGTAAAGCACCTAGCAGAGGGCTGCAGTGGTGATGCACCTATGGTACATGTGTTGTTTTCTTTTAAGACAAAACTCATTAATGGATGAGTTTTTTTTTATAAACTAAAATCTCAGGGGCTGGGAATTTAGCTCAGTGGTTCCGCCGCCTGCCTCGCAAGTGCAAGGTCCTGAGTTCCATCCCCGGTACCCCCCCAAAAAAATCTCAGTTTTCAAGTTTAATTGCAGTGTTGGCACGTTGTGATAGATAAATAAGTGGGTTTGGGGTTGCAGTTTGTGCGCTTGTCTCTAAAAGGTTCACCATCACTGACCTAGTGCTTTAAAGAAAAATCAAACTCTAATTCCTGTCCAAGCTTTCTTGTGTCTTTTATTCATCAGGAAACAGTAACCATGAACTCTGAAAACACACATGCCAGTAGGTGGCTATTGGCAAAGACCATTCAAACCAGACTAAAAACTAAAAGAGAAATTTACAGATTCAAGGCAAACCAGAGAAACCGAGTATAAAGATTCTCAGTGGTTCCTGGACCAACAGTACCCGAATCACTTGCTGGTTAGAAATGCAGACTCTCAGAGTCATTGAGTTGGAACCCTGGGTTAGGGGCTGGGTAGTCTGTTTTAACAAGCCCAGCAGGTCATTTTGGTGCACACTAAAGTTTGAGAACCAGTGGTCCAAGGTAGACACAACAGGCTTTGAGTGTGGAATCATGGTATGTGTTTCTGTGTATGTTTGTGCATATGCACACCCATGTGGATAGAATAATTGTAACTGCCTAAACTATTAACCAAGCATGGTAATATCAACAAGACTTGGCTAAACTAGTGATGAATAATGACCCATTTTTCTTTGGTACTGTGGTCTGCATAAAATTACATGTAGAATATTTGTTTTCAATAATTTTGTGCTAAATTCATTTGGGATTCAAAACACCAATCCATCAACCTTTTTCTTCTTTTTTCTAGGAAATTCCACTTACTTGGATGACCACGGACCCCCTCCTAGTAAGGTAAGGTCTGTGCTTGTGGAGTTAGTTTCCTTTTCCTCCCTATTGGTTTTTTAATAGATTGATCACAGTAGTTCCCGGGCTTCTATCAACTCTAACCAGATGCCTCCTGGCCCTGAGTCACTTAGAAGAAAACAGTAGATGACAGATGTCAAGTGAATCTTCTACTTCTGATGAGAAAGTGGGGAAGGAACATGAAGAGAGCATGCTGTCGTTGCAAAGGCATCGCAGTGTAGACTCACTGCAGACCTTTGCCAGTTTCTTCTGTTTGCTGCTTCAGTTCTCTGGGTGTCAGTGCTGGCTCGTGCTATGGGACCCACAGTCCTAGCTGCCCATGCCTTTGTGCCTTGTGGCAACACTCACCTCTTTCCTACTCTCCCTGGGTTGGTATCTTTTGCCCAAGACCTGGCCACTCAGACAAGCTGCCCTGGCCTGATCTGTACCCACTTCTGTTTCACGTATGAGTAATTTTGCTTAACTTTTAAGGGGTAGCACAGTCCATTAATGTAGTTTCTCCACCACTGTCTATTTCCTTGAGCTTGGTGGGAACCAAATGCCAATCAAATGGAACTTGAAAAAAAAATAGAACAAAATAATCATTGTATATGAGAAAATACATGTAATGCAGTGGGCTCATTTTTGTTCTAAACTTAAGGCTTTTGTACTTTTTTTGACATTTTTCCCCTTGTGATGACGGTTAATTAATATTTGGCACAGGGGATTGTGCTTTGCAAAATGAAAAAAAATATATATATATATCCTATTTTCAGAATTTTCTATCTATTCCTTGAATGTCTAGCTCTCCCAGTATTTTATTTTCTTCATCTTTGATCACTAAAGGCAATGCCTCCATCATGCAGTTGTAAAAACATGGTGAGAAGATAACCAGCCACCGACCTGAGAGGATTTGGGGGAGACTCCAAGGCAGTTTACTCATCCAGTCCCTTTATAAGGGTGAACTTTGGAAGACAGTATTTCTGAATGTGACACTGGCCCTGCCACTGCCTAGCGTATAGTGTCAGATCAGTTACTTAGTATTTTGATCCTCAGGTGGGATTAAGAGTGCTCCTCACAACACAGGACAGTGGAAAGGACTGGATGAGCTGACATATGAGGGATACTCGGCACTGACCTGTGAGAAATAGTAAATCAGCAGTGGCTGGTGCCTTCTTGACTGGGGTGGTGTTAAGGTTATTGATGAGTGAGTTGCACGGTGGCATTTATGTGACATCATTTAATCCACTGCATGCTTATTGAGTGCCTGGATGCTGCAGAAGCAGACATTAGAAATGAAGATAAGAAACAAGGACAGCAACAGCAGTAACTCCTCCTAGAGGAGCAAAAGAATATAGAGGATTGGGCCGGGAATCTATCTCAGTGGTTCCACTGCCTGCCTCACAAGCGCAAGGTCCCAAGCTTGATCCCTGGTACCAAAAAAAAAAAGAAAGAATATAGAGGATTAGGGGCACTCTGAGGGTGCGGACCATGCCTAGCATGCATGCTCTCATCCTTGCATCAACCTCGGTGCCCACAGAGGCACATCGTGGCTCTTTATTGAATCTCACTGAATCAGACCACAGAATCCAGAGCTAGAATCTGAATTAGGTCTTCTGACCCCCATCCCAGGTTCTTTCCACCAAGTCTGTACTGTCAAACTTGAACTTGCATAAGAATCACTCAGGGTCTTATTAAAAGACGTTACTGGGCCTTGCCAGAATGTTGGAATTCCTTGATCTGGGGTGGGACCCAAGAACTTGCTTTCCTGACCAACACCTAGAAAGTCTGGAATCTGCATTTGAGAACTGCTGCCATAAAAGCCATGAAAAGAAAAAAAAAAAAGAACATTTTCCTGCATTGTTTTCACTGTTAATAGCATAGAGGGACATGGCTTATATAAAGGCTTCTTTATTAATACAATAATGACTCACTATCATTGCCATCATTAGGTTTTCGCGTAGTGAAAACGTATTTTCTTTGGTTAATTATCTGCCTAAGAGGGACAATAGTGGAGGAAGGAATGGTGCACATAGCTTTCTGGGCTTCCTCACCACTAACTAGCACCACTGACTTCCCTTGGGGGTCCATGGAAGCTTTCCATTCCCCGTGCCATGTCAGAAGAGGAGGATTAGGTGACTCAGTCTAGGAGATTCATCAGCTGTTTTCCTCCATGGCTGGTGTAGATATTTCTTTGGGCTCCATGTTTAATACAAAGGGTTTTGCCTGTTAAGAAAACCCAAGACTGCTTCATATGAACTTGGCTTTTGGTACTTTTCCCTGGCCGAGACTCACTGCTCTTCTTCTTACTGGATTCCCTAGCTGCAAACCCTGACCTGACCCCTGAAGTCCTGTCTTTCACCCCTCTTCCCCTTCCCCAGCTAAAGCTCTCTGTGATCTACAGTAGTAATCAGGTTCTTTCACATTATTTTAGGCCACTTTCAGAGTAAAACCAGTTTTGTAAACTCTTGTCTAAGTTTGAAAATTGTGAACATAATCTCTTTAAACCAGTAGAAATTTCACTCATACAAATTCTATCGCTATAGCTGCCTGTTCATTATCTAGGAGTGGAGTAGCAAAACCATTCCTGACTTTTTAAACAGAAGCCATGAGAATATAAAAACAGGTAAAACTAATAGTGTTATGTCGACATCTTTTCATCCATGCTTCTGACTTCTGGCAGGGTAGAATTGAATCCCAGAAATGGCGAGATCAGATTTCCAGATAAAATGCCCTGGCGTGTCCCGGGAGGGGCCCTGGTTGTTTGGGTGTGCAGACCACTGGCTTATGCAGAGACACCGTGGCATCCAGAGGATTAGGACTCACATATGTCTGGCCTCTGGAGAGAACCCAGCCTGGCAGGAGAAAGTACGACCCAGGCCAGACCCATATTTTTCATATTTGCTTAGCACTCAGAAATAACTTTTTGATGCCAACACTGAAAGAGTTGCAATCTGAAATGAAATAAAAAGCTTTAAGCCCTGAAAATGTACTGAGGTTAGAGCACAATCTTACTTTATTAAAAGTTCAATTCCACAAGTTTCACGTTCCACAAACAGTATCCATTTAGGGAATGGGGTGTGTCACACAGCACATACTGGGATTGGGTCCCCATTGTCACATGTACTTTCATACGGAAATTCCCATTGCTGTGGAAATCCACTTGGACTGCATAGCTCACCTCAGTTTCTGTGTAAAACCATTATTCAAAGGTAGGCGATCATATTTTCTTTTACCTGCCACTGTGTGCCTTAAGGTCGGAGCTCTACTAATAATGAACATATAGATCTCCTTTGAGTAGAGTAGAGATATTCTTGAATACAGAATCGATTATGAAATACCAACTATGGTATGATAGTGCTTTTTGTAAACTTATACTCGTGTGTGCATAGCTGCAGAGAAAACGTGGGAGATTAATAGTGTTTTCTCTGGGTAGTAACATTTCAGATTTTTATCTTTTCCCAATACTTTTTAGTATAATTTGAGCTCATTAAAATAATGCCTGTTCAATCTAAAAATCGTAGAAAGCAATGTTTTGGTGTAAAAGATTAAAGCTGAGTTTAAAAGCTGGCAGTGTCCACAGCCTCCCAAGCAGCCTGCCCGCTGAGAGCTTGACATCTTCCACTCTTTAGCTTCACTTCACCTGGGACATGAACGAACTCCTGGTGGGAGCAGTAGGTATCAGCAGTGGTAAGTTCTCTTGGTGATAAATTGATGCAGTTATTATTTTCTATGTATTAGGTTCCCAAATCTGATAGATAAGCAGAGCTGTTCTAAGCAACTCAGGGATAATAGAATCACTAGCCGTAGCTGATATATTTCTTTTTCTTTCTGCCAAGCACTATGTTAACTTCGCAAGGAAAATTTACTCTCTAAAAGACTCTATGAAAGAGGTAGTAATTTTTAATCCTTGTTTTACAGACGAGGGAACTGGATCTCAGGGAGGCTGACTAATTTGCCAAAGGTCATTCACTAAGTATTGGATGTGGGATTCAAGCTCAGGGCTGCAGAGTTCCAGGGCCTATACTTTTAACCTTTTCTTTGCTTTTCCTCAGTGCTGGGGTTCAGACCCTAGGACCTGTACATGCTAGGTGAGTGCTGTAATACTGAGTTACACTCCTAGCTCCTAAGCAGTTCAAGATGACAAATTTAATATACAATATTTTTTTCACCTTATTACTGGTGTTTTACATTTTCAAATAAGAATATTGGTACATTGATTAGTATACACATGATTTTAACCTCCACTATTCCAGGAAAACAATTAGTCAGCACTATTTACTGTTTGGGTCCAATGAACTCTTAGCTTTTTATTCTTTCACTTCTACTTTATCTCTTTCTTTTCAAGCATCTGTGTATGCAGATCTACCCTTACCAAGCTGTACGCAAAGTAAAATTTTGGTGTCCAAATATCACAGATGGTGGAAGAATTCTACCCCACATTTATTGAACAAAAAAAGATGGGGCGGGTTCTTTTCCCAAAATATCATTTGATAAGGTCCTCCTTCTTCGGTGACAATGCATCAGAATACCATAGTGTCTTTTTTTCCATATTAATGTATTGTCCATCTATAGATTCTTGAGTCTGAAAGAATGAAATCACCTGAAGATTTACAGTTTAAGGTTTCTTATCTAGGATCAAGGTCATTATCACTATTCTTGAGTGCTTTTGCCTCTTTACATTCTTCTCTGATTCCTTTAGTGTTATAGTAAGGAATGAAAAATTCAAACATTCTGTTGTATCTAATGTAAGTTAAAAGCAAATTGCAAAAGGTCTGGGGGCTATAGTTTAATGACAGAGGCCTTGTCTAGCATGTATAAGGCCCTGGGTTCAATCCTTAGCACCATAATAAATAAATAAATACTATTCCAAGTCTTCTTTTTCTTCTGGCAACATAATGCAATACTTTGGGTAGTACAATAAGAAATGTGGAGGGTAATATAACCATGACAATTTAGTTCACTAGTAACTCATTCCCCTAAGTACAGTATTGTAGCTGTTAGATCGT